CTTTCTCCTCCTGTGTGTTCTATTGCCCCGCAGGAATGGTATCTGTATAAAGGGGGCCTTAAGAGGAAAGGAAGTCCTCCTCTTCCTCCTGCTTTTCTGCCTGAAGTGCCCTGTCCATGATTCCATGCAGCATGTGCTCCAGCAGGAAGACTAGAGGGATAGTGTCACTGATGCATGCATTGTCATGGATCACTGTTCTTATGGCCTCCTCAAATGATGACAATACAGTGCATGCTTCCTTTATCAGCATCCACTGGTGTGGCGAAAAGAAGACAAGCTCTCCTGAGCCTGCCTTGTGCCATATTCACACAGGTACTCATTGATGGCCCTCTGCTGCGTGCGTAGCCGCTGCAGCATTGCCAATGTTAAGTTCCACCTGGTGGGCATATCACAAAAAAGTCGGTTGGTGGGCAGGTTGAACTCCTGTTGAATGTCAGCCAGCTGAACATTGGCCATGTATGACTGCTGGAAATGGCCACAGACCTTTCTGGCCTGCCTCAGAAGATCTTGTAAGCCTGGGTACCTGTTCAAGAACACTGCACCACCAAATTCAGGATGTGTGCCAAGCATGGAACATGTGTCAAGTGTCCCTGTCGGAGGGTGGAAAGAAGGTTGGTTTCATTGCCCCATAAAACCATTCCGGGCTCAAGCTGCCATGGCATCAACAACCTCTGAGCCTGCCCCTGCAGAACTGACAGAATCTCTGGCCCGGTGTGGATCCTGTCCCGTAGACAGACCAGCTGAAGCACCGCATGGCTGCTTTTAGCCTGACCACATGCATAGCCCCTTAAATGCTTAGGGAGCACTGCTGTTTCAGAGGACAATTCAGCAGAAGAGGCCATAGAGGAAGAGGAAGAAGAGCAGGTGGCGCAGACAGATGTGGCAGAATCACCACCAGCTTTTTGGAGGCGTGGTAGTAGCAGAACAAGCTCCAGCACTGAATCCTGTCCTGCATCCTTCCCAGCTGCCAGCAGTTACCCATTGCACCGTGAAGGATATGTAACGTCCCTGACCATGCCTGTTGGACCACCTGTCAGCAGTATTTTGGACCTTGCTGCTGACCGCCCTGTCCAACGAGGCCAAAACATTGCCTTTCACGTGATGGTACAGCTGGAATGGACTTACATGAAAAGAAATGTCTTTTTGAAACCAGCCACTCTGGTACAGCACATTCCGCAAATTCACAGAAGGGGGCAGACTACACCAGATGGAAAGGCAGCAGCTGTAACGCTAGCAATTTGGCCAAGCTAGCATTTAGAGCAGGGGTGTCCAAACTTTTTTGGAAGAGTGCCAGATTTGATGAAGTGAACATGTGCGAGGGCCGACCATTTTGCCCGACATTCTGATGAACCATTAAAATTAAATGCAAATGAACTATTTTATGCAAAAGTTTATTGAAAACGGCATACTTTTCATTTTGTGACTTGGATGACAAATCTAAACAGGTGTTAAATCACTCTGCCAGCACAGGGAGAAGGAAAGCCCAAATCTCGCGAGATCTCGGAGGTCGCGAGATTTGGGCTTTGTTTCTCCTTGCACTGTCTGATGACGTCAAGCGATCCTGAGCACCAATCCATTATAGCCCAAATTGATACCGTATTTTTCGCTCCATAAGACGCACCTGACCATAAGACGCACCTAGGTTTTAGAGGCGAAAAACAGGAAAAAAAAATTCTGAACCAATGGACTGCAGACATAGTACAGGAGATGACCAGAGACTGCGGACACAGTACAGGAGATGACCAGAGACTGCGGACACAGTACAGGAGATGACCAGAGACTGCGGACACAGTACAGGAGATGACCAGAGACTGCAGACATAGTACAGGAGATGACCAGAGACTGCGGGCACAGTACAGGGGATGACCAGAGACTGCGGGCACAGTACAGGGGATGACCAGAGACTGCGGACAGTACAGGAGATGACCAGAGACTGCGGACACAGTACAGGGGATGACCAGAGACTGAGGACACAGTACAGGAGATGACCAGAGACTGAGGACACAGTACAGGAGATGACCAGAGACTGAGGACACAGTACAGGGTATGACCAGAGACTGAGGACACAGTACAGGGGATGACCAGAGACTGCGGATATAGTACAGGAGATGGCCAGAGACTGCGGACATAGTACAGGAGATGGCCAGAGACTGCGGACACAGTACAGGAGACGGTCAGAGACTGCGGACATAGTACAGGAGACGGCCAGAGACTGCGGACATAGTACAGGAGATGGCCAGAGACTGCGGACATAGTACAGGAGATGGCCAGAGACTGTGGACAGTAAAGGAGATGACCAGAGACTGCGGACACAGTACAGGAGATGACCAGAGACTGCGGACACAGTACAGGAGATGACCAGAGACTGCGGACACAGTACAGGAGATGACCAGTGACTGTGGACATACTACAGGAGATGACCAGAGACTGCAGACACAGTACAGGAGATGACCAGAGACTGCGGACACAGTACAGGAGATGACCAAAGACTGCGGACACAGTACAGGGGATGACCAGAGACCAGAGACTGCGGACACAGTACAGGAGATGACCAGAGACTGCGGACACAGTACAGGGGATGACCAGAGACCAGAGACTGCGGACACAGTACAGGAGATGACCAGAGACTGCGGACACAGTACAGATGACCAGAGACTGCGATGACCATTCACAAAGCGAAGCGCATGCGCAGTGGGCACTTGGCTGTCACAGAAGCCAGCGCGGGAAGACTGTGCAGTGCTGGAGCGAGGAACAGGTAAGGCCCTGCAGGAGACAACAGCTGAGCGGCCGGCCCGGTATTCTGACATGGTGGCGGCAGAAATACCGGACCGGCCGCTTTATATTCGCAAAAAAGTGCATCTTATGGAGCGAAAAATACGGTAAATGGTAGCCCCAGTAGTAATTCCCTGCGCACCACCTGGGATCCCTCGGCCCACGTTCCGGACCCCACAGATGAGCTGCCCAATATATAACTTACGGCCCTCCACTAGCGATTCTGCGAACGCCACTGAGGACTCCAGGGATCTGTTGAGCGGGAATTGACGTCATCAGCCGGCACACAGAGAAGGAAAGCCCAAATCTCACGAGATCTCGGACGTCGCGAGATTTGGGCTCTCCTTCCTGTGCCAGCTGATGATGTCAAGAGATCGCTGGAGTCCTCAGTAGCTTTCAGGGAATCACTACCGGGGGCCGTAAGTTATATATTTGGGTAGCTCACCTGTGGGGCCGTTTCAGTCCGGAACGCGGGCCGCAATTGGCCCGCGGGCCGGACTTTGGACATGCCTGATTTAGAGGCTTAGCATGTGGATGGGTGGGACAGTATTTTTTATTTTTATTTTTTACAGTTCAGCAACTACGGTAGCTAAATTTACATGGTGAAATCAACAGGTGGTGTACTGCTATACCATCACCCCTCTCAGTGGAGGCTGTTGAGAAGACTTGAGCTTTTATAGTAGGGGTAAAGATCCCAGATGAGGAGCAAGGAGAAGTCTAGACTTTTTTGGATGTGGGTCTTTCAGATGCTGTTGCCAACGGGCTGCATGGCAGGTCTTCATATGTCTTGTCAATCATGTGTTGCCCAAGTGGCTGGTGTTTTGCCCAAGCTTCATCCGCTTCAGACAGGGACTGCAAACAGCAATGCTTCGGTCTACTGCACATGTGCTGAAAAAAGCCTACAGCATAGAACGTTCGTGCCTTGTACCTGTGGAGCTCTGTCATGTGATGCTATAGTGTGCCTGGTATTACGCCTGCCCCTGGAGGACATTGTGCCTCGTTGGAGTTGTGCCTCCTCCTCACTTTCTTCCTCTGTTCTCTCAGGCACCCAAGTACAGTCAATGACCTCATCATCCCCTGACTCCTCGTCAATGGAGCCAACTTGGTAGTGTGCTGTGGATGGGGGAACATGACTGTCAATTTATTTTCCCTCATTGGCACCCCCTCTCTCTAGGCTCACGTCGCTCCCTTTCTCAACCAAAAACGCACGTTCTCATTTGCACGAAACATGTCAGGGGAATCCCTCAATGAGACGCTGACTATACATATATGAGCAAAGCTTGCCACCAGTTACCTATGTGAGTGATTTCCAATTCATCTGGATTTGATTTTAATAAACGATACTCCACTATTAGCACTATTTTGCCTCCCTGGCTCGTTACTTTACGAGCCCTTTAAGGTGGTGTACTTTGGAGTCTGGACGTTGTTGGACCCCTTGGTGAGTGTGAGGTGGACCCTGAGTGGGATTGACATCTTCCTGGAGAGTCCGCCGTTATACCTGATGACACCACACTGGTGACCAGACCCAGATGCACGTACAGATCATATACATACAATGCGCAGTTTGTATGTACTTCTGGTAAGTACATTATTGTACTATTGCTTCACGGAATATTTGACATCAAATTGCACTGATTGGATTCACAGCGATTGGAATACCATCATATTTGGGACTTTACTGTATTGGAACTATTTATGAACACGCATCAGTCTTTGTCTTTTGTGACATCACTTTATTTAGAGCTGCAAAAAACTTTGTTTTATGTCAGGGACTCAGAAAGCACTGATGTCATCGGATCTGCATAATTGCCAGTCACATAGCATTTCCAGGAGGCAGCCTCTATATTTTCCTCAGAATTAAAAAAATTATTAATTAAAAATAATAGTAATAATTATATATATATATTTTTTTTAAAAAAATATTGTATTGTTTTATGGCATTTACTCATTAAAATAGCCTATCAGAGCCAGCATTTGTTGATGTGGTTATAGGATCACTGGCTCTCAGCACTTTCCCTACAGATTGTACCACACACCTTACTGACCCTTATTTGCAAAACAATCCCTAGCCATCAGCATCCATGGATTCTGATGGCTAGTGACAAACGCGGAAGTATCCAAACGTCGCCTAGCAATGGGGAACTCAGTCGTCTACGCTGGGATACATAGTGCGCTTGCGCAGAACGGGCAGCGGAAGTGGACCACTGGTTTCCCACAATGCTTTGGGAGGAGGAGCGAGAGCAAAGATGGCGGCGAATCCGAACTCTAGCAAACCTCTGTTTGAATGTCCAAGCTGGTGAGTGGAGGAGGTTGTATGGAGGAGATGAATGGAGCCCTGAGCCTGCTGCCATGGGGGGAGAGACTAGGAGGTGAATGGGAAGGAAACGGTCATGGATAGAGAGCTGGAAATCACCAAGGAAGGAGGAGGTGTGGCGGAGTGTTTGGGGAATGTTTCCTATGTGAGGAGATTCGTGTCTCTATCAGTGCATACACGGACAGACCTGCCAGTCATGAAGTAGCATGCTGTTCCAGGGGCTGTGCAGGCAATCGATCTGTTCAGTCAGAGCCATTGAGATATTTAATTTCTGCAGATTACATTGGTATAGATCAGTGTTGTGTGTTTGCATATAGTGATCACACAGAAATCGAGACATCTGACAACCAAGTAAAGATCGTACAGGATTTAATGCATGCCTAGTGACCTGATCACAGCTGTGTCTAGGATTTTCTTTCCTCTCTCTGGGATAGAAATGGGTCCCAGCCCTCACTAACTGATTGCTGTGATCATGTGCCATGCCAGCCTGAGTCTCTTCTCTTTACTTTAGGAGGATCCTTAGGGAGACTTACTACAACTGGAACACTCAGAACTTGGTGCAGCTAGGCATAGCAGCCAATCCGCTTCTAACTTCAGCTTGTTCAGTCAACCACCTCCCGTCCGGCTGTTGTATATAAACGGCCGGACGGTGGCAGTGCAGGGGTGGGTGACTGTTTATAAACGCCTCCCTGCTTGTGCGCGCTCCCTGGGAGTGCGCAGCACCACAATCCAGTGCTCGCTGTGTCCTCCGGTCACTGTGGAGCACCGATCGTCGTACGGGACCCCTGTGTGAGGTCCCAATCATGTGATCACTGATTAGCCACTGAGGATGAGAAATGATTGCTTTTGCAGCCTTTATGGGTTTAAAAGAAATCAGTGTAAAAAAACAAACAAAATCTTAATCACCCCCCACAAGTAGTACAGTATAACTAAAGGCAAAACTTTTTTTTTTTTAGTTTTGTTTAGAGTGGAGAGGGATTATAACCCTTTCAAGTTTTTATTGCTGTCTGTGCCCCTGGAGATTCACCCTCTAGTTTTGTCCTGTTTGCAATTAACATTGAAAGTAAACCCTAAATTTTGCGTTTTTCCCTGAAAAGTAATAGAGTGTAAATCGTCCAATTAGGACACTAGTTCTGGTGACCTGGGGGTCCCCAAGGGATTCCCTTAATTTGCAGGGATTTCTTCTCATTTCCTATTTGGCTATGGGACAGGAAGTGAAGGGAAATCAATGAAGCAGGACACAGATAGTGAAAAAAAAACCACTGATGGGTTATAACCCTCCCATGCTCTATACAAAATATAAAAAATGTTTTGTCTATAGTTCTACTTTTAAGCTTTGGTTATAAAACCTACAGGCTGATTGGTTTCTATGCAGAGCAGCACCAGATTTTGCTTTCACTGGTTTTAGTAAATCTCCCCCTTAGGGTCCTCCTTTGAGGTCCACTGCCTGTGAGACCTGGACATGTCCTATTGGATGGCTGCTGGTGGGGCCCTCTTAAGCGAGCGAGGACAGTATCAACCCACGAGGATGGCAGTGGACAGATTGGACATTGTAGCATTCAATAAACATTTGCACAGAAACCAGTGGCAGTGAGGGACTAGGGACCCAAATGAGACTATAACCACTTGCCCTCTGGAAGATTTACCCCCCTTCATGACCAGGCCATTTTTGCGATATGGCGCTGCAATTCTTTAACTGACAATTGGGCGGTCATGCAGCACTGTACAAATTAAATTTGTCATTTTTTTTAACCACAAATGGAGCTTTGTTTTGGTGGTCTTTGATCACCTCTGCATATTTTATTTTTTGCGCTATAAACAAGAAAAGACTGACAATTTAAAAAAAAAAAACAATTTTTTTTTTTGCTATAAAGCATATCGAATAAAAAATAATTTCTTCATAAATTTAGGCCAAAATGTATCCTGCTACATGTCTTTGGTTAAAAAAAAAAAAAAAAAAAATCCCAATAAGTGTATGTTATTTGTTTACATGAGTTTTTTAGCATCTACAAATGGTGGTATATATATACTGGAATTTTTCTTTATTTTCTTATATTAGTAATGGTGGCGATCAGTGACTTATAGCGGGACTGCAGCAGGCATTCTGACACTGGGTGCGAACTAACTGCCACTGACCTCTCCAATGACATTAATACATGTTCCATGTAACATGTTCCAGCAGCTACAGCCTTTTTCGCCCTCTACTATCCCCCACCTCAATGACAGTGAACAGGGATCCGCCCTCACAGCTACGTCATTCAGTTTTCTGTGAATGACTTGAGCTACAAGTACTGTCTGTGTTTGCAGCTGATGGCTTATAGTTCTGACTGGACTGCAGGGTCACTGATGAGTGACCACGTAGTTCATACACAAGCCCTTCGGCTGGTATTGACCGAAAGCTGCAGAGCTTGTCTGCAGGAATCTGGCATTGCACCCCAATCCACTGATCAAGGGTGCAATGCTTTCCAGGCTCCTTATGGTTAAAAATAATAAATGCTGTGTTTTTTTTTTTTTTTTTTTTTTTTTTTTCCCTGCCAAAAATTTGCTCCCCCCCCCCCCCCCCCCCCCCAAAGGTGAACTTATCCTTTTAAATGGGTTTTGCATTCCCATACGAGTCTATAGGAATGTAAAGCAGGTCAGATGCTCCTGTCAATAAACGTTCAGTAATCTCCGAAGCATCTCAAGCTAATGTAACTGATAAAAGACCATAGTCCATTGATGGTGTGAAAAACGCAGCACGTCAAGGAAGCTTCCACGTTTGTATGGGCTCTAGTTGGCTTTTTAAATACACTGCTCAAAAAAAATTAAAGGAACACTTTGTAAACACATCAGATCTCAATGGTGAAAAATATTATGCTGGATATCTATACTGATATGGACTGGGTAATGTGTTAGGGATGTAAGGATGCCACATCATTTGATGGAAATGAAAATTGCCAACCTACAGAGGATTGAATTCAGACAACCCGAAAATCAAAGTGAAAAAAAAAATGATGCGGCACGCTAGTCCATTTTGCTGAAATTTCATTGCAGCAACTCAAAATGGTACTCAGTACTTTGTATGGCCCCCACATGCCTGAGAACATCGGAGCATGCTTCTAATGAGACAATGGATGGTGTCCTGGGGTATTTCCCCCCAGATCTGGACCAGGGCTCCTGGACAGTCTAAGGTGCAACCTGGTGTCGTCGGATGGACCAAAACAAGATATCCCAGAGGTGTTCTATTTTATTTAGGTCAGGAAAGCGTGGGGGCCATTCAATGTTATCAATTTTTTCATTCTCCAGGTACTGCCTGCATACTCTCGCCACATGAGGCGGGCATTGTCATGCACCAGGAGGAACCCAGGACCCACTGCACCAGCATAGGGTCTGACAATGGGTCCAAGGATTTCATCCCGATACCTAACGGCAGTCAGGGTGCCATTGTTTAGCCTGTAGAGGTCTGTGCGTTCCTCCATGGATATGCCTTCCCAGACCATCACTGACCCACCACCAAAACAGTGATGCTGAATGGTGTTACAGGCAGCATAACATTGTCTACAGCTTTCCCAGACCCTTACACGTCTGTCACGTGCTCAGCATGCATGTGTGTTCTCATCTGTGAAAAGCACAGGGCACCAGTGGCGGTCTTGCCAATTCTGGTGTTCAATGGCAAATGCCAATCCAGCTCTATGGTGCCGGGCTGTGAGCATAGGGCCCACTAGAGGACATCGGGCCCGCAGGCCACCCTCATGAAGTCTGTCTCTGATTGGTCAGAGACCTTCACACCAGTGCTCTGCTGGAGGTAATTTTGTAAGGCTCTGGCAGTGCTCATCCTGTCCCACCTTGCACAAAGGAGCAGATACCGGTCCTGCTGATGGGTTAAGGATCTTCTACAGCCCTGTCCAACCCTCCTAGAGTAACTGCCTGTCTCCTGGAATCTCCTCCATGCTCTTGAGATTGTGCTGGGAGACACAACAAACCTTCTGGCAATGGCACGACTGATGTGCCATCCTGGAGGAGTTGGACTGCCTGTGCAACTTCTGTAGGGTCCAGGTATCGCCTCATGCTACCAGTAGCAACGCTGACCCTAGCAAATGTAAAACTAGTGAAACAGTCAGAAAAGATGAGTAGGGAAAAAATGGCAGTGACCACCTGTAAAATCATTCCTGTTTTGGGGTCATCTCATTGTTTCCCATCTAATTAACACGAAAGCAGTATATAAGCAAATGTATATGGCAATAGGTTTAAAAAAAGAAATTGGCCCTACCAGACACGTATTAGTTACTCATGCTTCCCAAAAACAGCTTCCACAATGCCTGGCTGTGTTTAGAAGAAAAAAAAAATCCCTAATTTAGACGCACCCAGGAAGCCACTGAGAAAAGCAGAGCTAAACCTGCAATGTGGTCTCTAGTCCGCTGTTCTGCTTCCTTGAGCATTTCTTTTAGGCTAGCCCTCAAAGCAGTGGTGACCAAACTATGACTATTTGCTTGGCTTTATGGGGTCTTTGGGTCACTGGTCCACCCTTTGACATCTGGAGGATAGTGGACTGGCTGTTTGAGAAAGTTTGGGGACCCCTGCCCTTTTTAGCTTTTTCTGTTGCAAATTTGACAAAAAGACGGAAGTTGCTGGTCATTTGGAGTTTAGTCAATCTAGTGAGCTACAACTCAATACTGGAGTTGCTTTAGTAAAGAAGTAGACGTTGCTCACTTAGGAAGTTTATTAGTAAATGAGTGAGCTCTCTCTATTTGTTTTTTTGTTGTTTTTTTCTCTAAATGGTAATATGCTAGCACTCCTTTTTTTTTTTTTTTTTTTTTTCCTTCACACGTTTTAGTGATATTCATTGTTTCTCCCCCTTTATAGGGCAGGGAAACCTCCTCCTGGCTTGCACCTTGATGTTGTGAAAGGAGATAAACTTATAGAGGTAAGGATATTTTATCTAAGACTAGCCATACACGCAAATCTTTCTCTCTATCCCGCAGGCTGAATGAGAGAATAATAGATTCCTCTATCTACTGTAAACAGCATGAATGAAGGAATCTCCACTGCCAGCTATTGTGTCCAGACAGGCAGCACCAGCTGCTGTCTGAATATCCGGACAGTGAGTTCATCTGATTTGGATGCAGTCATTCTTCAGCCAACTATGTTCCACCTGGTTCCTTTTGGTTTTTAAATTAAGCATGGTGGTACACGCTGAAATGTATGGCAGGCTTAAGACTGACTGAAGCCTTCAGATTGCCACTGATCTACTTCATTGTAGCTACAATACACATTTATTTAAAGCTTGCCTGGATAAATTTTGCCCCCTATAACTAAATCTTACTAGACTGCTGGTTGCTGTATGTTGGTTTTTTTTTTTTTTTTTTTTCTCTAAACATTGAAACTTAATTTTTGCAAAAAGGCTGTATGTGGCTTGCATTATTGTTTCCAAAGCTTAGGTGTAATAGTATCACAACAATCAGCAATCTGAGTGATTGCTTCCTTTTATACATGTGTTTGAGGCAATTTGGGTAATGTCCTAAAGAAGATGTAAAAGCTGAAGTGGGATATGGAATTGCATTGGGTATGTATTTGATTCGGTAAATGCAGAGTAATATGTTCTGCACTCGATACTAACCAAGATATCTATGCTCTAGTTCTTTTCTAGTGCGTAATTCATGATATCTGGGTCTAAGGAGTGCTAAATTAATGTCCGTAAGCATTTAAGCTCAGTGTGTGTAGTAACGCTCTGGGTTATAACTTATTGTACATATTTTTATAACATGCAACATATGACTGTTTCTGGGTGCTCATCATTGATAACAAGTATTGTCAGTATTGTACTATGTGTAAAAGTGTAGCACGTTCCTTTTATGCACATGTTCTTTTCTGCACATGTTCTTTTGCTGCTTGTACAATATTAAGAATTTCTATATTGCTGAATGAGAATATGGGGTTTAGAAAACTGTTTTTATGTGGTTTTCTTAAGTGTTTCTATGTATGTGTCTTGCCTCACTGCATACAGTCTTCACCACCAAGCTGAAGTGGTTAAAGGGATGTTTGACATACCTGTTTGTTCCATATTTTGAAGTAGAGTAGATGGGAATTGACTCTTAGACCATGAGTTATATGCTGCTACCTTCAGGTGATTGGACACTGGCAGTGGCTTTGCTGAGACCACTCCCAGTGTATCCATGTAGCCCTGCCCACTCTGTGAGGCTGCAGTAAAGAAATGAGAGAAAAGAGGGGAGGGACCTGTCGTATACTGTATTCCATGACATGGAATTTACAAGCATGTTAAAACTCCTATTATCTTAATTGTATGAGACACAGAAATTGTTATTTATGCCATAGAACATGATCCTTCTCCAACTAATAAGTCAAGGGGAGGGCAACAAAATAGCCAAAATGGCCGCAACAGGACCCCAGGAAATATTAGTAAGGGTAAGTAGACCCAAACAGTTCACAGCAGAAGCACCTTGCGACTGAAGCACACGTCAGCAGAGGTCCAAACAGCCACCTGGCAAAAAGAATTCTGAAAATGTGAGCTGTGGATCAAAAACAGATGCTTGATACTGAAAAAGCTCAAGGACCCTGATGCCTCCTTTAGAATAGGGTCAGGTAGAGAAAGAGGCACTTGTTTTCTGAGGGCATAAGCCCTAAAAAAAAAGGCAAAATAACCACCAGCTGATGAGGAGGCAGTTAACCCATAGAGGGACCACCCTGTTAGAAAACAGAGGGATCAGTTCTGAAGGGAAGAGGTTAGGTAGCCATAAATTATAGTTCTGACCCTACCCATAAGGTAAAACAAAAACTGTTTTACATGCCTTTTTAAGGCAGGACATAAGGTAGGAGAGTAAAATTCCCCACAAAAGGCAAAAGTAAATCTTTAGAAAAGCAAGGACTGGCTTTCAGATGCTTTATCCCAATGCAGCAGAAAAGAAAAAGGGGGCTTCCATTAAGGTAATAGGGGGAGCCAAGGCAGAACTACAGCTGCCAGGGGCAATGGAGAGAAGACGGCTCCATTTTGTATAAGGGCCCTTTTTAGGAGAGTGACCCCCAGGATCGCATGGAGAAATAAGCTCCAGAGGGACACAGAAGGTCACAGCATGCGACAGAACAACTTTTTGCAAAAAGAGTGCAAAAGCCAAGGTGTTGGGAAGAGGTCCTATGAGACAAAAACAATACCTGCAGGGTACTAAGGGATAGGTTCTTGGCAATACAAAACAGATGTTGCTGGATAACGGCAAGGTATATGTTTTAAATGGAGTTCCCCACCATCGCACTAGATGAGAATCGACTCATGTGATAGACTGCAGAATATTGGAGAAGCGATCAGCATACACCAAGGAACAAGGGGCACCCAACCTGGCGGAATGTACATAACCGGTGAATGTCTGTGAGTTAGAGATACAGGGAAATCTCTGGGCAAAAGCCTGTAGAACTGTCATAGAACTGAAGACCTCTTAGGAGAGAGGCAGGCAAGTGGTGGTGCACCTACAGACCACATGTAGAGAGGGGGAAAAAATGCAGAAAGGAAGCACTGAAAGTAGGGACAATGTGACCTTTTCCATTGCTAAGCCAGTGAATGAAACTCAACCAGTACAAAAGGTCAGGTTTTTGAGATGGCAAGAGCAGAATGACTTCCCAGCCCATATAATGGGTAACTTTGTAATCTGCAATCCTGCTATGGGGAGGAAAGGACATATCGGTGCTCAGAGCAGAATCGGAGGGTTTCAAGTCGGGGGGATATGCTTTATGGCAATGAGGAGTAAAAGGGTTTTAGGTAGTTGAGCTAACATACACCAACCCCCCCCCCCCCCCGTGAGGAGAGTCCTACAGTGACCCTGGGTGGAGAAAACTTGGCATGGGCTACCTTAAAAGAGTTCACAAGCAGATGCTCAGAGGACCAACTGAGGAATGCTTAAGAGAGTCCCTAACCCTGGGACCAGCTGCAGACAAATATGTTATAATGAAGGGAGGCTATGAATAAGAATTATATCTGGATTAGACCCAGGTACTGCAGACAGTACAAGGTTGGGGGAGAAACTGAAGAAGTATGCGGGATCAACTGAAAGTGAGAAGTGTGTACATTAGCATTTGGTTCAAAGAATTGGGCTCAGAAGCCTTGTAGTAAAAGGTCTCCCAAGAAACCCTAGGATATGAATGTTCAAGGTATAAATACAGGTCTAATAAAAGAGCACCACCGAGTGTGGTGGTTTTTGCAGTAATGCAGGGACTACATTGATGTTTAAATAGGAAGTATAATCCATAATGCAGCATTTGCTATTAAAGCTAGAAAAACTCACATGAGAGATATAACAGCAGGTCACAAGGAAACAAGGCAGAAGCCTAGCTACTGCAGTAAAGGCAGAGATTTAAAAGCTAAGTTCACCTTCCTAAAAGCTTTCTTTGATTTAACAAGGCCTTACTTTAGTCCCTGCTGTGTTCATAGAAACGTTCATGACTTCCTGGTATGTAGATGTGGGATGTGAAAACCAGTAAGACACAGGAAGCAGTTCAGCGTCTGACCTTATTAGCGCACGCTCTACAGCCTGCACCCATTAACTATGTTTGTATGGCATCCCCGGCATCTCTCCAGGCATGCATTTGCCTTGCTTGTCAATGTAGGTTGCCACAGCTGTTATGTTTGCATGGGCCTGGGATGCATGCTAAGCTGTCTGGGGCAGCGGGTCGGACACCCCTGATGCAGTGCAAGGGCCTGCCTGATTGTATACAGAGTGAATTGATAGGTGGGTCCTCCTATTCCATAGTTTTGGTAAATCTAAACGAAATTGTATAGAGATTGTACAATAAGATTTAGTGTACACTGTACATTTCCTTTAGATTTACCACAACTATGGAATTGGCGCACCCGTCTATTTCGTAAGGAGGTCTTTAGGGTATGGGTGCCATAGAAATATACTTCGTCCCTGGACCTGCATAGCAGTCTGTGGCTAACTAGTTTGATTGTACCACATGCCAAGGTGAGTGCTTAAAACAGGATCCAGTTCCCAAAGCAAACGTTATAGGCCAGGCTGGCACTAATGCCATGGGATCCTTGTACAATTCCCGAGGTATACATAAAGGGTAACCAATCCAGAAATTGCTAGTATACCATATGACAATAAGCAGTTGGATATTGATAGAAGTCAGTTGAAGGAGTAAAGGACATCTAATGAAAAATAGAAGAAATTTTCCCCAACAGGAGATGGGGTTCATCACCTAAGGACACTAGCAAAAATGAAGCCTCATGGAGTGGGTGGGGTATATGGACACTGACAAAATCTTTGATGGGGCGACCCCCCCAGTGTAACCAATCACCTGAAGATAGCTGCCTAAAAGTCATGGTCTAAGAATCAAATCCTGTGTCCTGTAATGTACAATTAAGATATAATTGATTTTATATAAGGTTTATTCAAGATCTGAATGTTTACTATTAAATCATAATGTGCAGTCTTTGATTCATCCGTTTTAATGTTAAACTGTCTGAACTGCTGGGTGTGCATAACAGCATTAAGTAAGAGCTCTGTTTACATTTCTCAAGAATATTGCTGTATACTTATGGCATATTCCCAATTAAGCTTTGTTATCCGCTGAACAATGGTCATTTTAGATGGACTATCTGTAGGTCATTTTTTTGCAACTAAAAATGCTTATGTCAAAAAGTATTCTTCTTGCCCTACCTATGGGGGTTGTATTTGATAAACCTGACAAACATTGGGGTTGGAAAATAGGCTGTGCACTGAAAGTGCAGTTGCTGTAGATCTGAGTGGAAAATGCAAGGAAAAAAAAAAACAGCATTTTTGCTTGCACATGATTGAATATGGAAGAAATCAGCAGAGCTTCGCCTAATTTCAGTGCTTCCCCTCGGATATAAAGCAACTGCACTTGCAGTGCACAGTATATGTACCCTTATTAAATCAGCCCCATTGACTTTTTTTTATAAAGGCATACACTTTAACACAGTTTGGTAATGGTTGTGTAAAGGAGATGTGAGGGGAATAGTCAAAAGCTTGGACTGGCAGACTTTTACGGAGTCTTGCACACAGGTGGCATGAATTCCAGAATCTTACCTCTGCCTGGGAAGCCCACATGCTCAGCTTCCCATGTGCAAGATCCCTACATGTTGTATAGTGAAGAGCTCTGGACAAAGCAACCTCATCTGCCTTGTGACCTATTTGGAGCTCATGTCAATGCTTTCGCCTTTGTTGTGTAATGACAAATTCTGTTAAATCTTCTGTCTGCAGAAGCTGATCATCGATGAAAAAAAATACTACTTGTTTGGGAGAAACCCTGATCTGTGCGACTTCACAATCGATCATCAGTCTTGCTCCAGAGTTCATTCAGCCCTAGTCTACCACAAGCATTTGAAGAGAGTCTTTCTTATAGATCTCAACAGCAGTAAGTCCAGTTGATAGCCATTTGTACTTATGACCCATGCCTCGAACACCAGGCATGCACATGAGTTCACTTTATGTCCATTATTCTCTTGTGCAACCCACTTTTATTAATGTAACATTAAAAATGAATTCTGATCTTTCTTCCTTTTTTGTTGATTCATTTGTGCAGGGGTAGATTGGAAAATTAAGTAAACTTGTACAAAATGAAGGTTTCTTTGCTGGAAAGATGGCAAGTTTTGAAACTGTGCCGTGAGTCTAGAGCAGATTATAATTTGCTGCAGTTTATCAGCTGTATTTTACCTGGAAAATCATCTTTGAGGCCCCTTTTGATAACTAGTGATAACTAAGCATTTGTCAATATATAAATTTAAATGCTTTAATATCTTCCCTCTAGCACCAATATCCCTGTAAAAAGTTCAGAACGCTGGAGGAGCAGGAAGGATCAGCAGTTGTGTAGCCACTGTGGCTGTCACAATAGTCACATGATGTGGAGCCATTGCTGACTTCTCTTTGGTATTACGGACCAAGAGCTGCCTTTAACAGCTCGGTCTCTGTGCTGGGATTGCACAGTGAGTGCTCTCAGCACAAAAACATCAGCCGTCCAGCGACGTGTATGTGTGGGCGTTAAAGCCCACCCTTTTGCTGCCACACGCGAGTTACATGGGCGGCAACAGGTTAACTTTCCTTGTCAACAGTTTGAATTTTGTAAATGAGTACATTAAAAAACAGTGCCTTGAAAAAGTATTCATATACCTTTTTGAAATTTTCCACATTTTGTCCTGTTACAACCAAAAACGTAAATGTATTTTATTGGGATTTTATGTGAAAGACCAACACAAAGTGGAACATAATTGTGAAGTGGAAGGGAAATGAAATAGTTTTCTAAATTTTTTTTTCAAATATCCTGAAAGTGTGGTGTGCATTTTGTATTCAGCCCACTGAGTAGAACTTTGTAGAATCACATTTTGCTGCAATTACAGCTGCAAGTCTGCGGGTATGTCTCTACCAGCTTTGCATATCTAGAGTGAAATTGTTGCCCATTCTGCTTTGCAAAATAGCTCCAGCTCTGTCAGATTGGATGGAAAGTGTCTGTGAACAGCAATTTTCAAGTCTTGCCACAGACTCTCAATTGGATTTAGGTCTGGACTTTGACTGGGGCCATTCTAACACATGAATATGCTTTGATCTAAATCATTCGATTGTAGCTCTGGCTGTATGTTTAGGGCCGTTGTCCTGCTGGAAGGTGAACCTCTGCCCCTGTCTCAAGCCTTTTGCAGACTCTTAACAGATTTTCTTCTAAGATTGCCCTGTATTTGGCTCCATCCATCTTCCCATCAATTCTGGCCAGCTTCCCTGTCCCTGCTGAAGAAAAGCATTCCCATAACCTGATGCTGCCACCACCATGTTTCACGGTGGGGGTGGTGTGTTCAGGGTGATGTGCAGTGTTAGTTTTCTGCCGCACATAGTATTTTGCTTTTAGGCCAAAGTTCAATTTTGTTCTCCTCTGACCAGAGCACCTTCTTCCACATGTTTTCTGTGTCCTCCACATGGCTTCTCACAAACTACAAACGGGACTTCCTATGGCTTTCTTTCAACAATGGCTTTCTTCTTGCCAATCTTCCATAAAGGCCAGATTTGTGGCATGCACGACTAATAGTTGTCCTTTGGACAGATTCTTCTACCTGAGCTGTGGATCTCTGCAGCGCCTTCAGAATTACATGGGCCTCTTGGCTGCTTCTCTGACTAATGCTCTCCTTGCCCGGCCTGTCAGTTTAGGTGGACGGCCAAGTCTTGGTAGGTTTGCAGTTGTGCCATACTCTTTCCATTATTTTGGTTGATGGATTGATGATGGCTCTGTGAGATGTTCAAAACTTGGGATTTTTTTTTTATAACCTAACCCTGCTTTAAACTTCAACTTTATCCCTGACCTGTCTGGTGTGTTCCTTGGTCTTCATGATGCTGTTTGTTCACTAATGTTCTCTAACAATTCTCTGAGGACTTCACAGAACAGCTGTATTTATATACTGAGATTAATTTACACACAGGTGGACTGTATTTACTAATTGTGACTTCTGAAGGCAATTCTGCTAGATTTTAGTTAGGGGTATCCGATTTAACGGGGGCTGAATACAAATTCATGGCACACTTTTCAGATATTTATTTGTAAAAATTTTGAAAACCATTTATCATTTTCCTTCCACTTCACATTTTATGTGTGACTTTGTGTTTTGGTCATTCACATAAAATCCCAGCAAAATACATTTGCGTTTTTGGTTGTAACATGACAAATTGAAAACATTAAGGGGTATGATTACTTTTTCAAGGCACTGTCTATACAGCCCTCTGTTCAAAGTTGCTGTTCCTATACCTGTCCCAGTCCTAAATTGCAGACTTCCCTCTGCTTGTCCAAAGCTGTTTAAATTTTAAAAGAAAATAATTATCGAATGTTAAGCTACCACAATAAATACTTTACGGATCTTTCTCTCTCTAACCCCAACCCCCCCCCCCAGAAGAGTATAAGAAGAGATAACATCACAGATTTTGAAAAGCGCATTTCTAATATAAATGTAAACCATTCCATTGCTTATAACTTTAAGAAAGGAGTTGCAGCGGGCACATAAAATCCCCTCTCTTCTGGTTACTTCCAACTGTACAATTAAGTTCACAGCGAGACAGGAACCCAGGTGGGCAGAACATAAAAACTTTTTGGTCACTGTGATTATCTGGGGATTTTGGCATTTGGCCTCCAGTCTTTTGTCCTGGAATGTGTTAAAAAAAAAAAAAAGTTTGCTCACTGTAAATGTTATACTTCCCCCTTTTTAGCTTTTTTTTATTTTATTAACTGTTTTTGATCTGAGTTTCAGAATTTTCCATGCTTGCACTGGCATATTAAATGTAGATGTTCTCACTACTCTTGCATCAGTTCTCTTCGCACACACACACAATGCATTGATTACCACAATATCAGTGCAATTATGCTAGTAAAAGGATCTCTCCTCCAGTGTATCGCTGCTGACACTATACACATTCCCACATATACAAATTAAAACTTTGACAATCAGTGCCGAGCAATACTCTCGCTACAAACTTATACAGGGCATACCATTTGTGCAAATTTCACATATATAGTGCATTTAATCATATTAGATTTAAAGCGATTTGATTACAAATGACTGCTCAAGTCCTTTATAAATTGTAGAAAGTCTTCTTTCTTTAAAATGCTTATTTATTCTCATAAATATTTGTGCAAATTCCTGCCGTGTTGATAACCGGCCACCCACACATATATGTTCTCCCCTCCTGTATTTGATCTATATCTTTTTAGGTCAAATGGTGCTTTTCTCTTTTATAACCCGGGTAGGTATGATCTCCTTTTACTCTCCAATCTCCTCCCACAGTTTATTTCAGATCCATCTTCTTACTCTTTAGAGATCTCAGAGGTCGTATAGGTGAGAGTTACCTATCTGCACTCGCTGTAAGAAACCGTGCGTAATTCACATCTTGTAGATCTCTCAGGCAGGACTTGTCTGTTCCCCAGGAGTGAGAGGCCTCTCTCTCCTCTCACTCCTGGGGAATGATGGATCTGGATTAAATTGTGGAGGAGACTGGAGAGTAAAGGAGATCATGCCTTCCCAGGTTAGAAGGGAAAAGCGCCATTTGACCTAAAAACATATAGGTCAAATACAGAAGGTGTGTGTAATGTACACAGTTATCAACATGGCTTGATTTTGCATGAATATTTATGAGAATATATGAGCATTTTAAAGGAAGACTTTTTTTTACACAATTTATAAGGATTTGAGCAGTCATTTGTGATTGAATCACTGTGAATCTAGTATGATTAAATGCACTATGTATGTGAAATTTGCACATAGGTTGTGATATGCACTTTATATGTGGGGTTTGCACAAATGGTATGCACTGTAAGTTTTTAGCACATTTTTATAGCATGAGTAATGTGCGGCACTGATTGTCAAGGTTTTAACACACACTGCATTGTTTTCAGTAGATTGGCCAACTTTTATGCTTACATTGTAAAAACAAGCAGCAAAGTGGTGTTTTAGAAGGCAGGGTGCAATAAGCAAACGTACCGTATTTTTCGCTCCATAAGACGCACCTGACCATAAGACGCACCTAGGTTTTAGAGGCAGAAAACAGGAAAAAAAAATTCTGAACTAATGGACTGCAGACATAGTACAGGAGATGACCAGAGACTGCGGACACAGTACAGGAGATGACCAGAGACTGCGGACACAGTACAGGAGATGACCAGAGACTGCGGCCACAGTACAGGAGATGACCAGAGACTGCGGCCACAGTACAGGAGATGACCAGAGACTGCGGCCACAGTACAGGAGATGACCAGAGACTGCGGCCACAGTACAGGAGATGACCAGAGACTGCGGCCACAGTACAGGAGATGACCAGAGACTGCGGCCACAGTACAGGAGATGACCAGAGACCATGAGACTGCGGCCACAGTACAGGAGATGACCAGAGACTGCGGCCACAGTACAGGAGATGACCAGAGACTGCGGCCACAGTACAGGAGATGACCAGAGACTGCGGCCACAGTACAGGAGATTATTATTATTATTATTATTATTATTACTACGAGTTTATATAGCGCCAAAGGGTTTGCTCAGCGCTGTACAATAGGGGGGACAATACATGGCACAGTACAACAACAACAACAAACAACGTACGAGGGGTAAGAGGGCCCTACTCTTACGAGCTTACAATCTAGGATGACCAGAGACTGCGGCCACAGTACAGGAGATGACCAGAGACTGCGGCCACAGTACAGGAGATGACCAGAGACTGCGGCCACAGTACAGGAGATGACCAGAGACTGCGGCCACAGTACAGGAGATGACCAGAGACTGTGGCCACAGGCTTCTGTAATGGCGCTCGGCATGACAGCCGTGTGCCCAGTGCGCATGAGCGAGAAGCACTTGCGCTTTGTGATTGGTCCGGCGGCTTCTGGGATCTGTCATGTGTCCCAGGTGCCTCCTTACCATTCACAAAAAGCACCGCTTCCTGCGCATGCGCACTTGGCACCCGGCTGTCATGCCCACACTACAGAAGCCGGGAAGACCGCGCCGCTGGATAGAGGAACAGGTAAGATGAAAGAACAACTCCACGGAAGTGGGAGCTGGTACCTGTCAAATTCAGGTACCCGCTCCCCCCCCCCCTCCCCAAAGGTCAGCAGTCATCTCTATAAGGTCCCGCTGTAGAGCTGAGCGGCTGGCCCGGTATTCTGACACGGCGGCAGTGGAAATACCGGACCGGCCGCTCCATATTCGCTCCATAAGACGCACTGACATTTCCCCCCATTTTTTGGGGGGAAAAAAGTGCGTCTTATGGTGCGAAAAATACGGTACTTGTCTCATATGACACTACATATGAGTATGAGCAAGATTTTTCAAAACTTGAACACATTCTGTTTATTTGCATTGGGCCGATCTTTTAATAAATTGTATTTTTTTTTTTTTCTTTTTTTTGACAATGCATTCCTTTTAAATCTAGATCACATTTTTCTTTTGTCCACAGCCCATGGCACTTTCCTGGGACGTATCCGGTTGGAGCCTCACAAACCACAACAGATTCCCATTGACTCCACGGTTTCTTTTGGAGCCTCCACGAGAATGTACACCCTTCGAGAGAAACCTCAGACCCTTCCATCTGCCTTGAAAGGGGATGATAAAACTGGGGATGATGATGAATTGAAAGGTCTCTTAGGCCTTCCGGAAGAGGAAACTGAGCTTGATGTAAGTGGTCTTTAACATCTTGCCATCCATGTAACACATGCATGCAGCAGCAAAGAGGGAGTGCCGCACATACTATGCATTATTGGGTGGCAGAGGTTTCTATGCTGAGAACACGCTCAGTGGGTGCTCCAAGCACAGAGACTGAGCTGTAGGATAGCTCCTGGTATTCAGTAATAAGGATCCTAGGGGTACCAGCTTCTGCTGATGTGACTGCTCTGAGAGCTAAACAGTGGTCTTGTGATCAGGCTTAGAAGCCCGTTTAAAGGGACGCCAGGGCTGGGTGGAAAGGTTAAAGCGCACTGAAAATTAAAGTATAACGGTTGGCTAGATTTTGCCTTTCAATAGTTTTATAGAAGTCCTAAAATAAAAACTACGCAAACTGATTTTAATGTGTGAGGACACTTTCACCTTTTTGTTAAAGCTGTGCATATGTGTACGTACATACATATTCTATCAGTGTGTTGTTTTTTTTTTGTTTTGTTTTTTTTTTTTTGTTTTGTTTTTTTTTTTGCAAATTGTACTGCACTGCAGGTTATAAAAACAGAGATCCAATTTAAAAAGAAGTTGAGCAGTTCTGGGTACCCTTGCTAGTCATAGTTATGACCATTTACTAAACTGTATTATCCTTCTTTAAAGAATTTAACAGAATTTAACACTGCACACAACAAGAGAATATCAACACTTACTATTGAAGAAGGCAACTTGGACATCCAGAGATCACGAAGGAAGAAGAGAAATTACCGTGTTACCTTCAGTGAGGATGATGAAATTATAAATCCAGGTACCTTCATTTTGGTTAACGGTTTATTTGTACAGCTATGGTCCACTGTTGGGAAGGCGAGTATACAAATGGTTAATAAAGAAGAATACTGTAATCTGTGCAGCTATGTATTTTATCCCAAATCATTCCAGAATGGAAGTTTTTATCCTGTTTTGCCAATGTCTAGTGACACCAATGGCAATTTTTGGGGCATCCAAACACTCCCTCCCCACTATTTGAGACAGACCCTATACATGACCTTGTGTCATATGTGCTAAGTGATGACTGCAAATATCTTATTTATACTGGATAATTTACCTCAGGTAGAGGAGCCCATCAGATGTGCTTCTTCCAAATTTGGTTATAATGAACATGCTGATGGTTCGCAGGAGCATAGTGGGTGAAATTGACCTCATAAGTCTTCTGCTGATCCTTGTACTGTCCAAATAGCAGGGATCTATGACATCACTATATTCTTGAACTGTAATAGCAAATGCTTTTTGCAGGTAAAATGGCTCACTTGTATGTTTTGTCTGTGTATTAAACTGTTTGGCCTTTGTACAGTTGTGTTCAAAATAATAGCAGTGTGTTGAAAAAAGTGAATAAAGCTCAAAATCCTTCTAATAGCTTTTATTTCCATACACACAAATGCATTGGGAACACTACACATTCTATTCCAAATCAAAACATGAAGAAAAATATATCAAATTTGTGTTTTTCCTAAAAAAAAAAAAAATTGAAGAAAAGTGATTATTAGACTGTTCAAAAAAATAGCAGTGTTTGTATTCTTCTTTACAAACTCAAACATTCACTATATAAACTGAAAAATGTTTGAAGATTTTGATTTCCTTTGAATCACTTAATATTTAGTTGTATAAGCACTGTTTCTGAGAACTGCTGTACATCTGTGTTGCATGGAGTCAACCAACTTCTGGCACCTGTGAACAGGTATTCCAGCCCAGGATGATTGGACTACATTCCACAGTTCTTCTCCATTTCTTGGTTTTGCCTCAGAAACTGCATTTTTGATGTCACCCCACAAGTTTTCTATTGGATTAAGATCCGGGGATTGGGCTGGCCACTCCATAACGTCAATCTTGTTGGTCTGGAACCAAGATGTTGCACGTTTACTGGTGTGTTTGGGGTCGTTGTCTTGTTGGAACACCCATTTCAAGGGCATTTCCTCTTCAGCATAAAGCAGCATGACCTCTTCAAGTATTCTGATGTATTCAAACTGATCCATGATCCCTGGTATGTGATAAATAGGCCCAACACCGTAGTATGAGAAACATCCCCATATCATGATGCTTGCGCAACCATGCTTCACTGTCTTCACAGTGTACTGTGGCTTGAATTCAGTGTTTGGGGGTTGTCTGATAAACTGTCTCCGGCCACTAGACCCAAAAAGAACAATCTTACTTTCATCAGTCCACAAAATGTTGCGCCATTTCTCTTTAGGCCAGTCAATGTGCTCTTTGGCAAATTGTAACCTCTTCAGCACGTCTTTTTTTTCAAGAGTGGGACTTTGCGGGGGCTTCTTGCAGATATCTTGGCTTCACATAGGCGTCTTCTAATTGTAACAGAACTCACAGGTAAATTTAGACCTTCTTTTGATCTTCCTGGAGCTGATTGTTGGCTGAGTCCTTGCCATTTTGGCTATTCTTCTATCCATTCGAATGGTAGTTTTTCGCTTTCTTCCACGTCTTTCAGGTTTTGGTTGCCATTTTAAAGCATTTGCGATCATTTTAGCTGAGCAGCCTATCATTTTCTGCACTTCTTTACATGTTTTCCCCAATCCAATCAACTTTTTAATCAAGGTATGCTGTTCTTCTGAACAATGTCTGGAACGACCTATTTTCCTCAGAATTTCAGAGAGAAATGCACTGTAACCAGCATGTACAACATTTGCTGCCTTCCTTCCTTAAATAAGGGCAATAATTGCCACCTGTTTTTTCAAAGAATGAATGACCTCACTAATGGAACTCCACACTGCTATTATTTTGAACATGCCCCTTTCAATTAGTGATTCAATTACACAGAATCAGCAGCATGCATGTCATGACTGTTGGGTCTGTTGGATTTCTATTACTCTACTACACCTGCTAGTAAATTATTTGCCATGTAGAAATATCATTTCTACCAAAAACAGTGATCAGGTTAGTGATGTCTGACTGCTATTATTTTGAACACCACTGTAAGTGTAATTTCAGTCAGTTTACAGTAAATTGATGGCTTATGGAAGCCCACTCTAGCTTAAGAGGTTAATTATTACAATGATTAAATATCTGTAAACCATTCCTTATAAAGTGGTTGTAAAGGCTCAAGGTTTGTTACTTTCATGCATTTTATGCATGAAGGTAAAAAACCTTCTCTGCAGCAGTGCCCCCAGCCCCCTCAATATTTACCTAAGCCCCATCCAGATCCAGCGATGTGCCTCTGCCTCTTTATTGGCTGAGACCGCAAGTGGGAGTCATTGGCTCCCGCTGCTGTCAATCACAGCAATGAGAGATAAGGGGTGGGGCCAAGCCACGGCTCCTTGTGTGTGAATGGACACACGAAGCAGTGGGTGCTCCCATAGCAAGCTGCTTGCTGTAGATACACCCAACAGAAAGGAGGAGCCAGGAGAGCCTGCAGGGGACACAAGAAGAGGAGGATCCAGGCTGCTCTGTGCAAAACCACTACACACAGCAGGTAAGTATAGATATGTTTTGTTATTTACAAAAAAAATGTTTTTAGCATTGCTTCAATGTCAGTTGAAAATTTTACTTTGATTTTGTTAAGCAATGCACGTTCACAAGGTGTTCCACATTCATCAGAAATTCCTCTGCTATTTAAAGCATGCCAAATGCTCCTGTACACCATTCTAATTCAGTCAAAATATTTGCCCGTTGCATATCCCCTGCATATAAGGCTGTGGTCACACAGTTGTACAATACTGTACACCCGTGCAGGGCCATGTTTACCCGCATGGGGATGCATGTCGTTCATGCATCCCCATGCAAGTAGTCCTTTTTAATGTCTATTGGGAGACAGCAGGTGCATGGACACAGCCGCTGTGTCCCAGTATGACATCTGTGTAGGTGTGGGTGCGTGTCCCCTAACATGCACGCAGGGTGAATTTGTGCAAACACATTTGCACCAGCATGGAGGTCATATTGGGAAACGGCAGCTGTGTCCATGCAGCTGCTGTTTTCCGATGGATATCAGTGGGACTGCCTGCACAGGGATTCATAGAGCTCCTGTGTCGGTAAACATGGCCCTGTATGAGCATATAATATTGTATGCCCTGCATGAACAAGGCTTAAAAGAAATGCTTAATAGTTGTGTTCCGAAAGATGTTTCTGAAATTGTAATTGATGTGGCAGCAAACTTAAACCATGCCAACCCTTATGTTGGTGATGTAAGGTTGCTAGATTAACTGCTAACCATTGGCAATAGAAACAGCGTGTTGCTCAAGAAATCTGCTTTCTTTTATTTTCCCAACAGAGGATGTGGACCTTCAGTTGGACGTTTCAGAAATATGGTGCAGACAGCTGTAGTTCCAGTCAAGGTGAATTTCATTTTTCAGCCTCTTTGTTGGATATAATTTTAATACCTTTTTTGGGTTGAAAAGGAAAGAGACAGCAGTATTGTCCTGTAAAGACCATTTAATGTTGTGCATCCAGCTTGTGGCCCCTCGTGTCTCATTATTTTATTTATATTTTCCCCCTGCAGAAAAAGAAAACCGAAAATCCTGGATCTCTCAGCCTTGAAGATTCTGTTGGTCGGCGTGTACAGAACTTTCCATTTTCTGGGGGCTTGTATGTTGGACTCCCTCCTGCCCATTCTGAAGGAGGAGGACAGACGCCTGGCAGCCATGGCACAGCGCTAATTGGTGGGATGCTTTTCCCTAACTTGGCACCTGAAGTTGATCTTACTCCAACCACCCCAACAACTGTCCCTATCACAGTTGCTCCTACTGCATCAAGCTTTGTTGCTGAAGCTGTCAATGAGCCCAAGAAGAAAAAATATGCAAAGGAAGCTTGGCCTGGGAAAAAGCCTACCCCTCTTATTTAAAGACCTAAAGTAAACTGTTTTGGAAAATAAACTATACAGAGGAACTTTAAAAACCAGTGGATATTTTAATTGTAACCGAATTCACAACGGTCATAATGCTCCTTTGCAATTGCAGTGCAGGCAGGAAGTAGGATAGGCCTTTTTTTTTTTTTTTTCTTCTATTAAAACATCCCTGTCAGAACAAACACTCTGCTTGGAATGAGTACTCGGTATATCCTTCTGAAAACAAATCTGTTACACTGTAGAACAAGGAGTATACTGAAACTACTAAAGATCACTCCACCATGTAATGTTCATCACCTAGGCAGGAGCCATGTGCACTGGGAGTCTAAAAGAAGCCAAGCTGAAGTAAAATTGCAGAGAATTTTTCCACCAAAGAAGGAATGAACATGTGTGTATATATTTTCTTCTCTCTGGGAAATGGAAACCTATCATTATGGATTTTTGTATGTTAAGTGATTTTACAGCTATGTAAAATGAAATTTACTAATGTCCTGGTTTTGTTATATTTTAGTGTTTAATACACTGTATATATATTCCTTTTAGATGCTTTCTCAAGTTTTGTCCACTTCAAAATTTTCTTTAACACATTTTAATCTATAGGGGGGGGGGGGGGAGGAAATCTGACACACTGCCGAATGGTCCTTTGTCACAGGTTGACTGGCTGATCTGTACTTCATTCCTTATGATTGGCGACCCTAAATAAGCAGTAGGTTAAAGATTTAGGGGTTAATTTACTAAAATGTGAGGGTACAAAATCTGATGCAGTTCTGCATCTGCTTTTAATTTCAGCGTGTTCAATTAAAGGATAAGTTCACCTTTGGGAACATTTACATGTTCCACCTGTGTTTAGGATGGAACATGCAACATGTTCCCAATGCTGCAATCGCTGCCCGATTTATGCTCCCCAACGCCTCCTAACCCCTCCCCCCCCCCCGTGTCAGTGGTATGAGAAGTTCCCTGTACAAGCTGTCCATTTTTGAAAACAGTGCGGCCATGCAGGGCTCCGCCCACATGGCCAATGTCATTCATTGAATGAATGAGCTACAAATACCGACATCCTTTGTGGGATGTCTGCTTGTAGTTCTCAATGAACTACCACTTGCTCGTACGGAATCTACAGGCAAGCAGATATACTGACAGGTCTGCAGGAGACCTGCATGGCACCAGCAATGTACGGATTGCTGGTGCAGTGTTTTCCAGGTTCCACCAGCTGCACCAGATTTTGCACTCTCCAGTTAGCAAATCATCCTTTTAGACTTAAAGTAGAGCTCCACCCAAAAGGGGAAGTTCCGCATTGAGGACTGCTCCCCATGAAGGATTGGCACCTTTGGGGGACGGGAGTAGGAGCGGGTACCCGAATTTGACAGGTCTGATCGCCTGGGCGATCGGAAACTGAAGGTGTCCTCCCTCCCTCCCTGTAGTCTTTTGGGACACATGACAGGTCCCGGAAGACTTCAGGACCATTCATGAAGCGCAGTGCTACTCTCGCATGCACAGTGGATGCCCGGCTGTGAAGCTACAAGTTATCACAGCTGGGTACCCACACTGAAGATGCCAGCCTCCTAGAATACAGGACGTCTGGTGAGATGGGCTGTGGGGGACACACCAAGGGACAGGTAAGTGGCTGTTTTTTTAAAAGTCAGCAGCTACAGTTTTTGTAGCTGCTGACTTTTATTTTTTAACAGGGTGAATGGAACTCCGCTTTTAATTTAAATTTGCTTTCTTGTTCACGGTCAGAATTTTTTTTAATGTATTGACCACTTGATGATTTGGAATGTAGGAGATGTGTTCTAAAAAAGCCTCTCTAGGAAATATGTTCACTTGCTCTGACCACACAACCCTCACTCTCACTCATGCACACATTTAACCATGACTTGCTGGGTATTACATAGTTGTCAAAACACCTGCACCTTGCTTAGTTAGCTAGGTTAAGAAGAAACCTGTCCTTTTTGAGTTCAAACATCATAACAAAATAAGTAAATGGGCAAATACACCCTTATGAGGCCTGGAGTTAATTTTTAAATAAATCACTTCTACTGAATTATGGATTTTTACTTTGTTTCTACAAGGAGATAATTTCCCCTTAATTGCCTCCTCTCAAGAGGAAATAAATTTAACTTAAGAAAATCTTATTCTTTCCTCTTAGTGGAGGCCTTATGCTCCTTTTAGTTGCTCTTTTCTACCGAACAATGTCTCCTTATGAAAATATGATCTGTTTTTCCTACATGTACCCTATTGCTTTCGTTACTTTGTCCCTTACCTGGACCAAGTGTGCAAACAAGGGTGTCCAACCAACTGGATTCAATATCCATATCTAAAAATGTCAGTGTACAAGCAAGATACAGTGGATCTAAAAAGTCTACACACCCCTGTTAAAATATCGGTTTTCTGTGATTGTAAAAAAAAAAATGAGACAAAGATAAATAATTTCAGAACCTTTTTAGTGTGACCTATAAATTGTACAACTCAATTGAAAAACAAACTGAAATGTTTTAGGGAGGGGGATGCAAACAAACTAAAATGTGGTTGCATAAGTGTGCACACCCTCATATAACTGGGGATGTAGCTGTGTTCAGAATTAAGCAATCGCATTCAAAATCCTTTAAAGTGCCTCTAAATTAACCCCAAATAAAGTTGAGCTGTTCCAGTAGGTCTTTCCTGACATTTTCTTAGTGGCATCCTACAGCAAAAGCCATGGTCCGCAGAGAGCTTCCAAAGCATTAGAGGGATCTTATCATTAAAAGGTATCAGTCAGAAGGGTACAAAAGAATTTCCAAGGCATTAGATATACCATGGAACACAGTGAAGACAGTCATCAAGTGGAGAAAATATGGCACAACAGTGACATTACCAAGAACTGGACATCCCTCCAAAATTGATGAAAAGATAAAACTGGTCTGGGAGGCTGCCAAGAGGCCTACAGCAACATTAAAGGAGCTGCAGGAATATCTGGTAAGTACCGGCTGTGTGGTACATGTGACAACAATATCCTGTATTCTTCATATGTCTGGGCTATGGGGTAGAGTGACAAGACGGAAACCTTTTCTTACGAAGAAAAACATCCAAGCCCGGCTAAATTTTGCAAAAAAAAAAAAAAACTCTGAAGTCTCCCAAAAGCATGCAGGAAAATGTGTTATGGTTTAATGAAACCAAAGTTGAACTTTTTGGCCATAATTCCAAAAGATATGTTTGGCACAAAAAGAACACTGCACATCACCAAAAGAACACCACACCCACAGTGAAGCATGGTGGTGGCAGCATCATGGTTTGGGGCTGGTTTTCTTCAGCTGGAACTGGGGCCTTAATCAAGGTAGAGGGAATTATGAACAGTTTCAAATACCAGTCAATATTGGCACAAAACCTTCAGGCTTCTGCTAGAAAGCTGAACATGAAGAGGAACTTCATCTTTCAGCATGGCAACGACCCAAAGCATACATCCAAATCAACAAAGGAATGGCTTCACCAGAAGAAGATGAAAGTTTTGGAAATGCCCAGACCTGAATCCCACACAGGAGGTGCTCTCGCAATCTGACAGATTTGAAGGGTTTTTGCAAGGAAGAATGGGCAAATATTACCAAGTCAAGATGTGCCATGCTGATAGACTGAGTGCTGTAATACAATCAAAAGGTGCTTCAACAAAGTATTAGTTTAAGGGTGTGCACACTTATGCAACCATATTGGTTTAGTTTATTATTTTTACTTCCCTCCACCTAAAAGATTTCAGTTTGTTGTTCAACTGAGTTGTACAGTTTATAGATTACATTAATGGTGGAAAAAGTTCTGAAATGATTTATCTTTGTCATTTTTTTTACATCACAGAAACCTGACATTTTAACAGGGGTGTGTAGACTATTTATATCCACTGTATCTAGTATCAAATTTAGAAATCTATTGGCAGTGGAAATTCCCATATATCTTTCTTTTCTAAGGTTTCTTTAGAGCTTCTTTGATGGTTCATTAATGTATTATGGAGATCTGTTGTCCACTGGGTTGCTTCAAAGTGGGATAAAACAGTTGGCAAAGGGGGCCAACACAATTTCTCTTTAACAGGGTAGAGAACAACCAGAATGATACCAATTGACAAGTATCTTGGTGTTTTTAAGATTTTCAGTGTATGATTGTACGGTAAGCCATATTCGTATAATCATTACACAGCTGCATACTTATTACTACACATGGCAAATTGACTAATATTTTCTAGTGCTAATGCATAAGCTAAATTGTGTGAAGTGTATGAACAAAATAGATCTCATTGAGATTGAACATGTATCCCATGTCAGCACCTGACCTGTATACCAGGTTGGGAAAAATATTAAATGTTAACAAATATATTGGGCTGCCATTGCTGACCTCTCTAAAAAAAAAATTTTACTTGCTTTGGCTTTTTTTGCTGACAATTTGACTTTAACAGTTTGAACCACAGACCTGGATCAAGTGTGCACATCAGAAAAGTTGGTGAGGTATTATTATACAGGATTTATATAACGCCAACAGTTTGCTCAGCGCTTTACAATATAACGGGAGACAATACAGTAACAAAGTTCAATACAAGAGGGATTTGACATCTAAGGGTAAAACAAATCTAAATGCCTAAGCACAAATTTTTCACTGTTGACATGTGTTAGTAAAACCGTACATATCATCACAACTACTTTGTACATCCAGGTGAATTATAACTTGTTTTTTTTTTTTTCAGGACACATTGGGCTTTCATTTGCTGATAAATGATAAAAAAAAAAAAAATCAGGAGATCTCCATTACCAAAGGAAAACTGTCCCAAAATAGTAAAAAAAAATTTTTTTCAACCTCCCTGGCGGTATTCCCGAGTGTAGCTCGGGGTAAAGTTTCAGTACCACAAGCGGTAACCCCGAGCTACACTCGGGCTTACCATGCGGCGCTGCTCCGGGATCTGTTCTTCACTTACCTTGTCCTGCGCTCCCGTGATGTCCCTCCTGCAGTGTCCCCGGCAATGTAATCCGGCGGATGCCGGCATCTGT